GCTCATCTCCCTTTTATTTCTTTGTCGGTAAATTTAAATTTAAGACATCTGAATGAATATTAGAGAGAGGCAGGTACCCTTGTAAGTTCACCATAAAAACATGGGACCTCAAGTCCTGAATATCTCCTTTTCATTTTGACTTGCCACTTTGCATGAATCTTGAAGCACTAAATCAGTTTTGCCACCATCGCTGAAAATAACTTCCTGTGGATTTCTGTTCCCTAGACTGCAAGAATCCAAGAAAGCAAGCTCCCAAATTCCGCGTCCGGCCGCGCTTTGAGCCAATCCACTTCGTCACCAGTAACACTCAACCACAGGCAAAAGAGGAGTCTTCAGAAAACCAAGTCCAAGACGCTTCAGAGGACATCACAGCCCAGCAGATCCAAACTTATGCTGATCGGGTGTTTAGCAGCTTCAGCACCCAAGATGGGGACCTACAGTTCTCAAGTTCAGTAGGCCTTGGCTATGGAAGCAGCCAGGTCAAACCGCCCGACGCTAAATTGGCTCCCGTAAATAAAGAGACTTCTACCGCTGGGGGCACAACGACTTTGGCGGACTCTGCTCTTCTACAACCCGCTTCCGAAACGTTCCCCAAATCGGTGGTAACAGCCAAGCAGTGTTTCATTAAGAAGCTTGTAACGGCAGTCCGCAACAATCTCACCAACCCCAATTGTAGTGGCGGGCCGGACAAAATTAACTACACGTATCTTTTGACACGGTCAATTCAGGCTTGTAAGACCAACCCGGAGTATATTTATTCTCCCCTGAAGGACATTTCTCCTGCTGATCTTCCCAAAAAGAAGAAGATCCTCAAAGAAGGTTTTGCCTGCGAGGTAAGGTGCCAGAACGTCTACCTGACCACGGGCTACGCGGGCAGCAAAAACGGTTCCAGAGATCGGGCCACTGAGTTGGCGGTGATACTGCTGCAGAAGCCCGTCGAAGTCAAAGTGGTTCAGCGGAAATTCAAGAACGCCATGCGGGAAGATTTAGTGGTGTGTGAAAGCGGGACGTCTCCTCTCGAATTCCCGCCAGCGCTCAAACCACCGGATGAGACAACCCCCCCTGCAAAGGATGGTGTGACGGGACAGCCAGGTTCAGATCCGCAACAAGGGCCCAGCTCGGTCAAACACTGGACTAACTTTGTCCTCACTGAAAACGCCAGTGATGCCATTGGCATTTTGAACAATTCTGCCTCCTTTAACAAAATGACCGTGGAGTACAAATACGTATTGATGCCCAACCGTCTCTGGCGTTGCGGCGTCTATTTGCAAGGCCACTTCTTAGCGGAAGGCTGCGGCACCAAGAAAACCAGCAAGCACGCCGCGGCGGACGAAGCCGTGAAAATTTTGCAGAAGACGCAGTCCAATATCAGCGCCACCAAAGCCGTGCAGGTTCAGAAAGTCGGTGGGGCTGCCCGCGCCCCAGCGAAGAAGAAGAGCCTGAAGGACCTGGTGGTGTACGAAAACTCCATGAATCCGGTCTGCACTCTGAACGACACCGCTCAGTTCAACAAGATGACGGTGGAATACGTCTTCGAAAGGGTGACCGGCATGCGATGGAAGTGCAAGGTGATGCTGGAGAACGAACTGATCGCCGAGGCCGTCGGCGTCAAGAAGACCGTCAAGCACGTGGCCGCCGAGGAGGCTGTGAAAGTCCTCAAGAAGACCCAGCCGACCGTGGTCAACAATTTGAAAAAAGGCACCATCGAAGACGTCATTTCCCGGAACGAGATTTGTGGCCGCTCGGCCGAAGAGGCCTTAAAGCAGCAGATCAAGGAAGACAACATCGGGAATCAGATCTTAAGGAAGATGGGCTGGACGGGGGGCGGTTTGGGCAAAAGTGGGGAAGGGATCCGGGAGCCCATCGCGGTGAAGGAGCAGTTCAAAAGGGAAGGGCTGGGACTGGATGTCGAAAGAGGCTCCCAGATCACCAAAAAAGATATCGAGCAGATCATCCAAAATTACGCTTTCTCGGACAGGAAGATCGACCTGACTTTTTCCACGGAACTTACCAACGATGAGCGGAAACAGATCCATCAGATAGCCCAAAAATATGGGCTGAAAAGCAAGTCCCATGGCCAGGGCAGGGATAGGTATTTGGTGGTCAGCCGAAAGAGGCGTAAAGAAGATTTGCTCGACCAGCTGAAGCAGGACGGTCAAGTTGGCCATTACGAACTCATCATGCCGCAGGAGAAATAGGGAGCGAACCTTAAAAAGTTTCCCAAGGGGAAAATCTGGACAGGAACCCGGTTTCCATTAAACGGGGAAGGAAAAAAAAAAAGACACTGTATATTGTTGTGGAAAAAGAAACACCCAAGTCAAATGTTTCCCCTGCTTATTTTAATTCCTTAATACTACTCGACGAGAAATCGTCTGTCCAATTTCATGTCGTGCAATTCGGGTAACATCTGTGCCGTTTGCCTGTTTTAAGAATCTCTCAAATATGATGCTTCCCCCACCACCCTTCATGTTTTACTAATTTGGTAACAGCAGGAATATCGATTCAGTGGGGGGGGAGCCTGGCATTGTTTTTAAAAGGATGCTTTTATTTTGCCCCCCCCCCCCCTTTTTTTAAAAAAAGAGGGGACGTATAAAGAAAGATGGCCGTATAAAGAGAATTATATGTAAAGTGAATCTTAATAAATGAATTTTTTATGTCTGGGCATGCATGGGAGGGCATGTTTTATATTTAAAATGGTGGGGGGGCGTAGAGGCACAAAACTATTTTCAGCATATTCAGAAATGGAATCACTACAGTATTTGACCGCTTGGTTAACTTGAGACCGAACGCAGACCGGAACAGGCTGCAAAATGAGCAAATCCTAAAAAAAATATTTTTTTTCTGACATCTAGCCTAGTCCCGATTCACCGTTTCATTAGACAAAAGTGTGTGATTTTTCGCAACAAAGGGTTTAAAACTGGAATAAGTGTCATAAACTTCAGCGGGGTGGGGTGGGGTGGGGAATTGCACTGGGCCAAAAAAATCTCTGTTGCAGGTTTCTAGCCTTGCAGGATTAAAACCAAGAAGTGGAAGCTCAGGGATCAAGAGACTGTAAAATGCCGCGTTGTTGGGGTATATGGATGTTGGGGGCTCTCTACTGCAGCATTGGAACTAACAAATTAGTGAAGGCTTTTTCGTTGCCTGATTTGTGCAATTCCCAGCAGATCCATCATTTGTGATGTGACACCAGGGGGGCTTCTACATTTCAAAACGAGGCCAATACACTACTGTGTTTTCCATCAGCGTTAAGGGGAGCATTTCTTGTACCCCGTCCATCCTGATCAGACAGGATGGAGTTTCATTTCTTTCTCTCTGAAGCCTCTACGTATTGTGTAAATGTGCTTGTATATTTCACGGGAAGATCAGCAAGTAAAAAGGTTCTCTCGCTGAAGTTGTTGTGGTTTTCTGCACAGTATTTTTTTTTTAAAAAAATCCTCTTTACAGGCTTTCTTCCAGCTGCAGGGGCTGCTGAAGGATATCAAGACTTGCTTTCCCATTTCATTCAATCCTTCCGTTGTTTTACTATAGCGTAGAGCCTTGTTCAGCTGGAAATGATATATACACCCAATGGAAGAATGATCTTTAGGGAATAATTCTGCATCGTTTTATATTCTGAAGGAGAGGAGGGTGTTTTGAGTTTAAAAAAAGAAGTATCTACATGAGAGAAAGCGAAAAAATGTATTTTTTAAAAAATGGATTAGGACTTTGCAATGCTTTAGGGCACACTGGGGCACATCTGCACTTCCAGGAAAAGATAAAAATTGTATTATAAAGAATTGTAGACAGGAGCTACCGACTGGCTGTCAACTCCAAAAAAAACCCCAACCCTACATAGCCCTATTGTGTATATATATTTTTTCTTCACACAAAAGCTTGGAACACAAGGCCTAACTATATTGCTCAATCTCTTTGACCTTCTTGTAACAGAACTTCTCATTCTTCTAGAACCTCCAAGCCAAACTTCTGGGAATCCACTCAGTTGTGGCAGAAGTTGGAAGAAACTAATTCATCTTACCTACGCATTATTTCACCTGTTTACACACTTGAGTCTTGCCACTGGTGTGCCTGTCCGTTCTTTCCTTTGTAACTTAAAAGCATCTGCAGAGTATAAAAGACAGGTGGCTGGAAAACACAAGGTAGTAAAGACACTCAATTTCCCTTAAAAAAAAAACAAAAAACAAAGAAACAAGAGAAGACTTTTAAGGGATGTTACAGCTTGCTATAAAAGGCAAAGGCACACTAGCCTGTTTTACCTGTTGCAGTAAGGGATATACCACACAAAAAATGTGCTTAAGAAAGACAGTTTAACTATTTCTCCTGCTTTACCTCAGCTAATAGCTTGTAAGATACTCCAGAAATTAACTTTATAAACCACCCTTATTTATGTCATTAGTTGTAAGCATTCCTGAAAGTGTAGAGTATCTTCTTTTATCTATAACCAGAATATAGAAAGAAGGAAAATATTTGGTCTAATGACGTATCAGCATTATTAAATGGTCCCTCGATTTGCAAGATCAACTTTCAGTTGCTGGTTTCTAGTCAAATGTTAAGGGGTGCACATTGTCTTCTTTCAACAATTAAGGATTTCGGTTACACATTTATTTACAAGTCATTGAAAAATGTACAGTTTCTTACATGGGTTACTTGTGCAAAGTTGTACTCCAGAGTTCATGTATACATAGAAGACACTGGTAGAGCGGACAAAAACCCACCAATTGGTCTCCTCCCACACGGCTGATTTAAGTACAGACTCGGCTTCGCACACGCACACATACACAAAAACAAATGTGAAACCACCCTGTAAATCAGGCAGAGGGAAGGCAAGGAGGAAGGGAACAGAATAGACACATGCTGCAGTAGCATTTGCAATCTTTTTTTTCCCCCTTTTCTCCCAAACAAGTAAGCAAAGCTGTAACAATCTCATTTCCTTCCTCCCCTGGTTAAGAGGTAGAAATTAAAAATCATAGAAAGGGGGGGGGGAAATGGGTGGGCTTTTTTTAAAGCATTTGAAGTTTGCCCCTAACACACCATTTGGCCATTAACTCTCAACTCCTGTACTCTCCCCACAACTCTACTCCCCACAACTCTACTCCAAAGTGCGGCATACGCCATTTTGAGCACCCTTTGAAAGTGCTGCGGAAAGCCTTGTTCCCCTGTTTACGTCCACACGTAACGCCAATCAACCCCCTTGCACCTGACCATTAAAAAGCGGGGATCGGCCCTCCGCCTCCCCCACTCCACCCCCACCTTGACTTGGAAATCAGTTCTGCAAAACCCACGCAGCTGAAAAGGAAGCTTAGGAGGGAAAAATGGGAAAAGCAGCACAACTGGGGGAAGAGAGAGAAAACTAACGTTTTCCCCTCTTTCTTCTTGTTCCATAAAATACTCACAGGTGTAGTGGCGTCGAAACCAGCGGTTAAATGACCAGCCTCGGACAGATCAGCAACTCAAGTCATCGTTAAAAATGTATATTGTATATAAACATCCTTTTTCCTTTCTTTCTTTCTCTCTCTCTCTCGAATCAAGCTACACGTAAGCGTCACTGTGTATAACACAATTACAATTAAAAGCTTAAGTGTACGGGGGTGGGGGGGAAGAAAAAAAAAAAGCACAATACTGCCCCTAAGAACTGGCCAAGGTAGACTCCTGCCCTCCCCAAACCCCACCAGAAGTGGAAATTCAGCCTCAGTCATTCTTTTAACAAGTAACCCAAGTACAGTACATTTGACTTCAAGGGGGGAAAGTAGGAAAGGGTTAGGGTTGTTTTCGTTTTGTTTTTCTGTTGTCCAAAGAGAAAAAAAAAAAGAGATCCAGCGAGGGAAGTTGGCAACGGCACAGACAGCTAATTTTGCTTTCCGAGTAAATGCAGTGATGCGAGGAAGAGGAGGAGGAGGAGGAAGAGGAGGAGGAGGAGGTGGTGGTGGTGGTGGACTCAGACACTTCATACATGTATTTTCCTCATCAGAGTGTTCATTTGCATCAGCCAAGGTCAACAGTCACGCCAGCTCTGTTCTACTATGGCCGAAACTCGCTTTTCGTATTCCCGCTTATTCTCCTGGTATAGCTGAGCGGCCTGGCTGTTTGCTGGGCTGTTTGGGTTAGGCTCATCCAGTAAAGACTGTTTTTGAAAAAAAGGGGGGGGGAGGAAAGGAAAAGATGGTCAGGTTTGGTTAAGGTTTCACGCCAATACTGCGCACGGGCCATTGATTAAATTCAAAAGGGTTTTTTGAGGGCTGGGAGGTCTGTAAAGTATACTCCTGGGATGCTTTTAATCCCTCCTTTTTTATCTTTTATGGTATGGTATCCAAGAAGAGATTGGACTGCCATTTGTCAGCAATGGTGTAGTCTCTCCAGCTTGGGCAGGGTGGGTTGGACTAGATGACCTACAAAGTCCCTTCCAACTCTGCGTTAAATCTGTATCTGTATCTTATATCTATATGCCACCACTTTTAACGCGGACAAATTGGGATAAAACAAATGTTTTTAAGGCTCTCTGGGCATCAAAATATTTGCTATTGCAATCAGGTACAGGCAGTTCTTTGAGTTACGACCATAATTGGAGCCCCAAAAGTTAGGCCACTAAGTGAAACATTTATTAAGGGGGAGCTTTGCCCTGTTTTACGGCCAGGAACCAGTTGCCAAGCACCTGAATTTTGAGCGTGTGACCATGGGGGGATGCCACGACAGTGGTTACGCGTGAAAAACAATCCCAAGACCCTTTTTTTCATTGGCACTGAATGGTCACTAAATGAACTGCTATACGTCAAGAAATACCTGTACTCTTTTACATTTTCAACAGGAATGTTCAAGAAATAACAATTTTAAAAAAACGGCTAAAGAATTCGCAATCTATTCAAAGCCACGTTTTACCAGCTCATCTATTGATTTCAAGTAAGATTTTATGCAGCTAGTCTATAGAGATTCTCGGTCATCCAAGTCCTGGTTGTCCCAAAGGTGCTTTTTTTTCAGGAGGCAACTGGACTTTCTTTCTTTTTTCTTTGAAGACGTTTTGCTTCCCCTCCAAGAAGCTTCTTCAGCTCTAAGGCTGAATGGTGGGCGATGGAAGGATTGATGCTCTTTGCAGACAGCTGGTTATTTGCATCCTCTTAGAGAGGGTCGTTGAAGTCTCTTGGAGGTTTATCTGGTTCTTCAGGGTCAGAAAGGATGCCAAGGTCCAGCTGTCTGCAAGGAGCATGAATCCTTCTACTCCCCACCTTCCAGTCAGAGCTGAAGAAGCTTCTTGGATGAGAAGCGAAACGCCTTCAAAGAAAAACCAGAAAGTCCAGTTGCCTCTTGAAAAAAAAGCACCTTTGGGACATTTGATGCAATAGCTTCTTTTCAGAGGGCTGAACCAATGCCCTATGTTCTTCGAAGCACTGAATACCTGTCGTATCCTACCCCCCATGGGCCTATTGATTCACAACCTACCAAAGTTTAGCTTCCTCTCAACAAGGCTTTTTTGACTTATCATGTTTTTCATCAAATAGGCTTAGAAACCGGCACAATGGGAGCCGGTTATCTCAACCAACCCCTTTGAATTCCAAACGATACTGGAAGGTTGTCTCTGTCCACAGAATTTGCACAGCTCCTGCAATGGATCGGTCTACGAGGCTTGGAAAAGTACCAGCAAAACGACTAACGTTACCTGTATGGAGGTTAAGATGGATGATACGTCGTAGGTAGGGCTCCAGCGGTTTTGAAGAATATCCAGACATATACTACCATCTGCATAGACTAAAAAGGGGAAAGGTGTGGGTTTTGATAATACGGGAAGGGTGGTTGTGTTACTATCAGGGGATTGTGCCAAGCTCTCTGCCTCTCCATCTGAAGTGACCCCACAAGAAGAACTGGATTCTGACTACAGGCTCTTACATTGCATGACCTGACAATTCTTGGTGGTTATGAAATTATTCATAGTATGGTGACATGTCAATCAAATATTAAGGGCCGCAGATCCTTTCAAAGATCTATGGAAACTGAATAACACATAATTATAGCCATCAAGCTACCTTTTGTAAACATTCTCTCTTTTATTATAGGATTCTATCAGCTCTTTTTCAATTTTCAGCGGTGTATCGAACACCCAGGAAATCCACAGCTGTAATAATATAATTATGAGGAGTTGGTTCTCTACCTGGCCCTAAACTTGATGGGAGGCCAAGATTTGAGGCAATTGTTTTGTAGTCCATTACCAACCTAATCAGGCAGAGACAACTCAGATCCAGGGAGAATCCTCCTAGATTCCTTGTCCCACAAACCTATTTTGTGAAGAGGTCAGGCTTCCATGTGAACAATGTGTTTTTAAATCTTGTTTAAATCTTGTTTTTAAATGTGGGAGGATCCCACAAACTCACGCAACACCTTATTTAACTTCCTTTTCACGAAAGCAGATTATCTTAGGGCCTCGCCAACATTTTCCAACAAAGTCGGTAACTGTTGACTCCGTGTGCTCCGTAAAGAAACAATACACTCTTCTATAGTTCCTTGTTTAACCAGAATCTCTTATCTACTTAAATAATATGACTGAGATGAACCTGTAGTTAACACCTTCAGGTCACTGTACTGCGGGATTACAGATGCCTCTAAAGGAGTCACAGCCTTTCCCTCTCCTCCCCCTGCAGGAATGCTGTATTTTATGAGCTAGCTTCTCTCAAACTGTAAATAGGGGCTCCATTTCTTCCACTGTCCTGGCTCTTTTATACAAACTGTTGTCTGCTTAAAAAAAAGCTACATACCATTCGGATGAAACATCTTAGACACAAATCTGACGGTAGGTGGCTTGTTCGGATATTCTTCCGTGAATTCTATGGTAAGCTTGAATGTTCCTGTAATTGAGAAATGGGGGTGGGGGGGTCAGGGAGTTCAATGACATCATATTCACAGGTGGGTTTAAATTGTCCCTGCCTTTCTTATCGGTCCGTAATAAATCAGAAAACCCCCAACGATTCCTTTGCAAGGAAGAGAATCTGAAACAAGACAGATGGAGAGACAGGCTGCGAAACTGGCAGGCATCGTTTCAATTGTTGCACAACCTTTTTACACAAAGAAGAGAACAAACTGCTGCTTTTATAACTGAACTCAAGAGATTTAACAGAAGATGGCAAAGGAAAAAGGTGTAAGGCCAAAAAGGGAAAAAACAAGCATGATTTTTAAAAGCATGCAAATGGCTCCAAGTGCAGCAAGGCAAGGTTTAAAGCTTGTGCAGCAAAGGTGCTTTTCAAAGGACCTGAGAAAAAGGTCTAAAGAGTGCTATAAAATTAAACTAAACGAGTTTAATTTTTTTAAAATTAAACTGAACATAAAATTAAAATTATTAATACCTTCAAGTAAATTCTGAAAAGCCACTGTAAGTATAAGCAGCAACACTACAGAATTATTTTCAGTAGACGGCCTAGTTTGGTCTCATAGTTAAGGCACCGGGGCTAGAAACCAGGAGACCCCGAGTTCGAGTCCCGCCTTAGCCATGAAAGCTGGCCGTATCACTTTGGGCCAATCGCCGAGACTCTGAGTTCGAGTCCTGCCTTAGCCATGAAAGCCAACTGGGTGGCCTTGGGTCGGTCACTCTCTCTCTCTCTCTCTCTCTCTCTCCCAGCCTGCCTCACGGGGTTGTGGTGAGAAAAATAGGAGGAAGGTGTGTTGGATAGGTTCACACCGCCTTGACTTAGTTGTAAAAATAATGGTGGAATACAAATAAATAAATGAAATAATTGAAAGGACACCGTCATAATCACACGGGTATTAAGGACTATTAAGTTCAACCCAAAGCAGAAGGGAATCTTATCAGAATGGAGAATAATTTTTAAAAACACGGCATCAAAAGGGAAGAGCAAAAAGGAAGCTCACACTCATTGGGATCAATGAGAGGGAGAAGCAGCCGGGTCACACGTGGCAAAACTTCTGAGAGAGAGGATTCTAGTTTAGGTATCTCCATTATCTAGCAAGCACAGGAATGCTTTCCTGCCCCCCAAAATTCCAAGGTGCGATTCTAGGACTGATCGACATGGGCGTGGCATTACATGAAGGGTTGCATTACAGTCTCTTAAGATTGCTTCAAGAAAGACTTACCATCCTCAAACGGGGTTCCCTCCGGCCTGAAAAAGAAAATGACTGTCAAGATCTCGCAGGTCATAGATTCCATTTAGAGGAGCCAGCTTTTTAAAAAGGACACGTTGCATTCCCTCCAGTCCCAAAACCAGGATTCAAACTGAGCTAAATTCAAAAGGCTTCAGGGGAAGAATCAAACCTAGGTGACATCGTTGACTATGGGGGACAGCTATTTATTTTCAAGTTGGGTTGGGGGGGGCTGCTATCTCTCACCCCAGTCACCCCTGACCTTGATGCTAAAGATAAAAGCCCTGGGCACGGGGCTCCCAAGGCATTCAAAGTTCTTGGTTCAGCACTGGATAGCAATAATCACAGCTTGCCTGTCTTCCCTTCTTATATGCCAGCAGGCTGCAAAGAGACAAGAGTATGGTGCATGCCCGAAGACACCACTATCGAAAGCGAAACAATAAGGAAAATATTAGCCTGCGCAGAGATGGACAGACTAACTCTAGAAATTAAGGATAAGGGTGAGACCAGGGTACTATGGAGTCTGGAGCAAAATGTATCAATGGTTGGAGTCGAGGAAAAGAAGAAAGTGTTGACGCTTTTATAGGGATGAAGGTTAAAGTTTTTGTAAGTTAAAGAAAAAGAAATATAATGGACAAATATGATATGAATATAAAGACTATAAGGGAAAAAAAGAGATGGAAAAGAAGCTAGGTTGTAAATATGTATATAAATGTAAATAGAAACAAATATGTAACCAGCATTAAATTAACAATGTAGGGAAAAAAGGGAAAATCAACTGTTATATCTACTTTTATGCTATAGCATGCATGGCCAAAATGATGGCCAAGAAAGTCACGCTGTGTTCAACTGTTTTTAATCTTTACTTAATAAAAAAATTTTTAAAAAGAAATAAAAGAAAAGAGACAGAGAGATCAGATTGTTAACCGCTCAGGTGAAGCAATTACCAACCTCCACCAATGGGATTGAGGGATCTGGACACCTTCCTCCGAAGAAGCCCACACATATGCTTGTGAGAATCCTGAACCTTTGCAAGATCTGAGCCAACCTCAAAGCTGTGTCAATACTGAGCATAAGGTACGTCACAGCTACAGGTCATTGACCTGTGTCCCAAGGAGCCTTGTCCTAAAGGCTGGTAGAAGAGGAGGCAGGCACAGAGTGAAGGAAGGAAGAACGTGCGCAAAAGCAATGGCTACATCCTCAGGGACCCTAGAAAAGCACGAACTGCAACCAACCATCCTAAAACAGCACCTGCCTGTTCAAACACGGGACTCTCCGGACAGGCTTGCAATCATCAATCCTAAGAAATCTGGGACAGAGGGTGTCATGCCCCTGTCGGAGTCTCAATCCTGACAGGGAGCGGGAGTGTGGCTCCGTTGACTGTGGAGGAAACTGGGGAAGGGCAAAGTCCGGCTGGGCAGAGCAGGGGAGAGGGAGTTCAGAGGAAGACCCAGTCCTACTCCCTCTTTATACTAGGGCATGCAGGGAGAAACGGAGAAGGGAGCAACGTGGGTTGCGTGGCTTACAGGGGAGGAAAGGGCCCTGATTCCCTTCTTTAGCCACAGCTGGGAAGGGAATTTAAAAGAGATGCATGCTGAGTGCAGTGCTTGCTGGGAGCAAAACATGAGTTTATCCTGTGTTGTCGTGGTTTCTCTGTGCTCCTGGCGTCTTTCTAACCATGTGAGTTTTGCCGTGCATTCAAGTCTGAAATTCTTCTTCCTGCCCTGCCAAACTAATTACTTCAGTTTGGTTTGTTTGGACTAAGTTACAGTTTGTGTTGCGAGGCTCACTTGCAGTCAAACACAACAGAGCGAAGGAGGAAAGTGAATTGGCTCCGATCCCGAGACAATTCAAAAAAGGAAATGTCACCCAGGCTGTCTAATCAACGCTGTCAAAACAGGTCACACCTGCCAGGGTACACAATTATGGTAAAAGGATGAACTAAAATCCATTTATCGATTTAAGGTTTCAGCTTGGAATTCCAGGTAGGGCAAGGATCGCAACCATGAAGCTTGACAGAGTGTTCTACCAGCCAAGCAGAGCTGGCTTCCACGTTCATGAGGTGGGCACGCACTGTGCAATATCCTCTTTTAGAAAATTTTGGAGCAGGTGTGATATCCACACAAGCAAATACGCTCGTGGGGTCATTTGGGAGCAGGAGGGAAAAGGAATCCATGCTGAAGGTTTGAGGCAGCAGTCACTCTTCCCTGCCTATCAATCTTGGACTAGATAAGCAATCAAATGAGAGAATTTGGAGGAATTTCTTTCTAAGCACACCAAAGCCACAGAGGTGCCATGGCTATCTTGCTTTTTTCAGCCTATTTTACAAAATATTTATAAATGTAGGAAAGCTTTCCAAACCAGTCTTTATTCATTCCGATGTTCTTTCAAGAGACCAAGGAACTGGTTGTCAGAATAACAATAACAATGGTTATTATTTTTAATTAAAGTAACTCCAGCCACCACTAATGGCGGTTTCTGAACACACCCTGCCATTCTACCTTACCAGAATATGATCTTATTTCTAAAAGAAAGCAACTGCCAGCCCTCTCTGGACGTTTACCATCAATTACAATTATTTCTGCCTTTGCAAATCTCTCTCCTGGAAGTGAACAATACATTATGGACCCGAAGTGGGCGTTTATTGAACAGGCTGGTTCTGAATGAAGAGAAATACAATTCAATACATCTGGGAGAAGAAAGAAAGAAAAAAACAACAGCCAGTGGAATGACTAGACTATTACCACAGAGAAGTAAAATCTGGGCCACCAGGATGATAATTCTCATTGATTAAAGCACAGAGTTTAAAAAGTCTGATAACTGATAAGGAAAATAATTGGAATGATTTGTTTATTTGAATTTAGGGAAGGAAAACTGGGTTCCTCTGAATGTCCTAGATATTCTCAAAGTCTATCAGCTCTGGCCAACTTAATAGCAGGAGGCTACGAAAGAGCACCAACATGTTTATCCTTGCTTTTGTAGATCATAATCATCTTATGTTCTTAACTGTCTCCAACATGGTAATGAACTGAAGTCCTGCACTCCCTTCAGGCTAGACCAATCACATCCCGGACATAAACTGTTTCAATTCCTTCCCTCAAAACTACACTATAGAGCCCTGCACACCAGAACAACTAGACACAAGGGGAGTTTTCTCCCAAACACCATCCCTCTGCTAAACAAATAACTCCCTCAACACTGTCCAACTATTTACAAAGTCTGCACTACTATTAATCTTCACATCACTTCTTATCACCCATCTCCTCCCACTTGTGGCTTTTTGACTGTAACTTTGTTACTTGTATCCTTATGATTTATACTGACTATTTCCTAATATGATTCGATTGCTTATTGTATCCTAAGACTATTATTAAGTGTTGTACCTTATGATTCTTGATGAATGTATCTTTGATTTTATGTACGCTGAGAGCATGTGCCCCAAAGACAAATTCCTTGTGTGTCCAATCACACTTGGCAAAATAAAGAATTGAATTAATTCTATTCTGTTCTGTTCTGTTCTATTCTATTCTATCCTATCCTCTATTCTATTCTATACTCTATATTCTATTCTCTATTCTACATTCTATTCTCTATTCTATTTTATTCTCTCTTCTCTCCTCTCCTCTCTTCTATTCCCCCCCACTTTCCTTCCACTTCAACTGCAGAACTGGGCTGGGGGTGTGGGGGAAGCATTGAGGGGGGGGCAGCCTGACCCAGCCCTTTTTTTAAAAAAAGAGCCCATTTGCAATTTTGGAAAAACAAGGAAGGTTGGGTGTGTTTTTCTGCTTGTGTGTGTGAGAAAAAAAAAGGGGGGGGGGTGTTTAGGATCTTCCAGGAAGCGCTCCTGGAGCAGAGATGCGGGGGTGCAAAGAAAAAAAGGAGGGGGCAGAAGAAGGCTTGCAACCTTCCTGGGTGGGTGGGTGGGTGGGTGAGGAAGAGGATGGGGGGGGGGCGGAGAGGAGACTCACCCAAAGATGACTGCATTCCACACCATGATGTTGTTCTCCGAGGGGGCTCCGCTCACTCCGGCCGGGGGATCCTCCTGCAGCCTGTTTTTGGGGGAGGGGGAGAAGGGGGGGGAAGCAGGCCAGGAAAGGGTTAAAAAGCCCAGCTGGGAAGCAGGAACGGGCGACGGTGGGCTCGTTTCGCTCCGCCTGCGCCAACGGCGTAACTCGCCCTAATCTCCACGGCCGCTACGCCAGTAGCGTAGCGCTCCCATCCTCCGCCGCCATGTTGGATCGCCTCACCTCTTTTCCATCCGCTGCGATGCCCTCCCCCCCCCCCACTCTCTTCCCTCCGGCTCAGCGGCTCTCTTCCCGGGGCGTCGCTTTTACCTCTTGAAGTCCCGCATAAGGCGCCTCCGGGCCGGCGTGGACATGGCGGGGGGGGACGGCTCGCGGTTATGAATCCCTCATACACCAGCGGGGAGGGGGGGGTAACTCGCGGCGGCGGCAGCAGCGGAGGCGGCTGGGTTCCGAGCGGAGGCGGCCTCTTCCACTTGTGCCTCAACAATGGGGGGGGGATCGAGGAAGGAGGCCCTTGACGACGCGCCCGGCCGAGGCTGCTGGGCAATGCCGGACCGCACCACTGCCCTTGAGGGGGGGGGTGGATTGAGAAAACAGAAAGGGGCGGCGCTAGGCGCACAGCCGCCGACTCACGCCGGGGACGCACCACTTGCGCCCGCGCAGACGCGGGGGGGGGAGAAAGGGGAGGGCGATACCATTTCGGATGACGCTCGAGTCGAGCGTTTTGGGCGAGACTAATGTTGGAGAAAAAAGGGGTAATTAATGGGAGAAACCATTTTCTGCCCGTTCGGTTACATTTCCTCGTCCTTTCTATTGGTTGGTAGAATCAGCTTCCCCCCCCCCGCCGCTTTGTGGGAGGAGCGTTAATTTGAAAGCTATGCGGTCAGCACGTTGGTGTCACACCAAAATAAGTCCCCCCGGGCTCAGTGACTCAAAACAATGATAGAATCGGGTTCACACGTCACACCATCCTGCAATGGGTTTAGCTTGGCTTTGTTTGGCCTCAGTCAATGCAGCTTTGCCATCCCTTAATGAAAGCAGGGTTTAAGTCAACCTTGGCAACTTTTAAAGATGTGTGGGCTTCCAATCCCAGAACCCCCCATAATGCAGGCCGACTAGGGAATTATGGGAGTTGAAGTCCACACATCTTAAAGCTGCCAGGATTGAAAAACACTGGATTAAAGGCAATATAGTACAAGGTGCGAACTAGCCAATAGTGGATTAATTTCCCAATAATGGTTAAGAAAAAGTATTATTGAGCAACTGATCTTCTGTTATCACTTGCCTCCTGAAGGATAGTTCTGAAGCTATCAATCCTTTTACATCAACAATACTTCTCTATTAACGTCTTCTTGAGCAGCTAAGGACAGGATCTATTAAATCTCTTTATTTCCTACATGCTTCTCAACTTTTATTATTGCAACACTTTAATGCATACTTTATTCACCATGTTGTCACACATACCACTCAGCCAGTACATTATGAAGATTGAAAAGCCACAATTCTAAGCCCAAGCACCATTACTGAAGAGTCCAAACAAACGGAAAATAAGCATTAGTGCAGAAACAGTGGGATTTGTGGTGATAAAAGACATCCCCTTCCATGTCTAAAACAGCCAAGACTCTTGCTGGCCCAAGATGCAAACAATTATTTTGAGCATAGATGAGACATGCATGTTGGGCCGTGTTAATGATTCAAGGTATGTTCAGTGCTGAAGTCTGACCACCAATAAGGAGTGGAAACGTATCATCCAAAATCCAAGCAGATTTTTATTATTTTGTTAATTTATTATTTTTTATTATTTTATTATTAGTTTTATATGTTTTTATTTTTGAGCCGCGGGGCAAATAAGTGGCAATATAATTTTAAATAGAGACAGACAGACAGATAGATAGACAGACAGACAAGATTAGCCAACAATAGCGGGGAACCAGCCATCAAGGTCGGTCTTGGGAAGGGGTCGCCCGCATCTTCCGCGAGGCAAGGGGACGCTTTGCGGGGGGTCCCGAAGCCTCGGTTCCCACGTTCCTCCTGCGCCCCCCCGAAGAAGCCGCGCCTGCCTTCTCCGCCCTCCCCCTTTGCGAGCAAGGACCGGCGCGCTCCAGCCAGCCGAGGCGAGCGGGCGGAGCCGGGGATGGAGGGCGAAGAGGGGCTGGCTCTGCCGGCTTGCAGTTCCTGCTCTAGGCGGGTCCAAGGCGGAGCCGACTTGGAGAGGCGGAGCGCATCCGATCGTCCGGCGTCGCCATGCCCAAAGTGGTCTCTCGTTCCGTGGTCTGTTCCGACACGCGCGACCGGGAGGAATACGACGATGGCGAGAAGCCACTGCACGTCTATTACTGCCTCTGCGGACAGATGGTGCTGGTCCTGGGTGAGCCAAGCAAGGGACCCCGGCCCCATCTCCATCCCCGCCTCTCCTCCCTTCCCCTCGGCCAGGGAGCAAAGCGGTCCCCCCGGAGCCTCTCCAAACCTTGGCCATTACGCACCAGCTGTTGGAACCGAGTCGGTTCCGGAGTTCCGCGCCGTTGGGGCGCGAGGGTGAGGCTGATGGGAGTTGAAATCCAGAAGTCTGCTGGGGGATGATGGGAGTTGCAGTCCTCGGGGGAAGGAGTTCCTGTTTTCCCCAAGGGCAGCAAATAACAGCCAGCCTCCTTAGCTGATTTGGGGATGATCATGGGGGTCGTTTAAACCTAATGCCCAGAGTCACTTTGGATGGTGAGATGAGTGGCTTATAAATTTAATAAAATAAATAATTTAACTTAACCATCCTGATATTGGAGGGTTTGGAAAGAGAGACGTGAATGGGAGCTGTCCAATGTTTCATTCATAGCGCTTTGTATTAATATCTCCCCCTTCTTATGAATGAGCTCTGTAGTCAACAAATCCTGTGAAAGTTCAAAAAAGGTTGTCAAATATTGTTCATATACACTGCTGTAAGAAAACTATAATTAAGATCTTTTTGATGGCTTCCATGTTAGAAGGCGATTCGTGGTATCCAATGTTTACCGGTTCAATGTTTTCTATCAAAATTTGATTGATAACTGAAAAACAGGATTGGAATATTGGTTTGATGTTGGGGTGGAGGTTGATTGCTTTAGTTTTCTAAGGACCTCCTACAGCATTGATCGCCAGAGTTTAGATTTATTTTCCCTGAAGATTTTTAAAAAAATTATTATGATGATGATTTTTCCTAGATTGCCAACTTGAGAAGCTGCCCATGAGACCCCGAGATCGGGCCAGAGTTATCGATGCTGTCAAACATGCCCACAAATTCTGTAACACGGAAGAAGAGGAAAATGTTTACCTGCGCAGGTAGGAAGGATGCACAAAACCCATTGCCAGAGTATAGTCAGCCTGGGGCCAGGCAGCCATGGCCAAAATCAAAGATGTACAATTTCGGAAACAACGCTTTGCTTTTGATATTATTCAACTTACGAGTTATTGATGAGTTATGCAACTTATGGGTCTCTCATCTTTCATCTAAATATATATATTGGAAGGAGTGTCCTCATCTTCATTGTCTGTTACTGTAGAGGAAGGTATAATATTAAAATTGCTGAAACATTTGTTTAACTGATGGTTTCTTTCTTCGTTAAAATGTAATTTTAATGATATTTTTAGAAGGAGCCACTAGTGGAAAAATAAGTTAGTGTGGGAAAATATATGGGTTAAAACAATAAGTTTATCACCCAGGGTTTATAGCTTTTCAGACTATGTAATCCTAACCAAAAACGACTTCCTTTTTTTTGCAACAAATTGAGATGAAGCAAAGTACAGTGTATTTACCTATTTTTCTTCCCTACCTAGGCCAGAAGGCATTGAACGGCAATACAGGAAAAAATGTGGAAAGTAAGTGATTTGAGAGGAAGTATTGAGAAGATAAGACAGTCAACAAATCTTGTTTCCAGTGATAAAAGAATATATAGCCTGTGGGAGCCATTGTGATCTGGTGCATTAATGCAGCCAACTATTTCTCCAAAGTAAAAAATAAATAAAAATAAGGGGATCTAAATCCAGTGTGATGTAATGGTTAAGATGTCATCCTAATGCAAAATTCTTTGCATCCCCAGTGTCTTCTCTTACAAACTGAACTACTGGCTGTTGGGGGTTGGGCTCCAACGTAGGCCCAGATTAGTGAAGGGTGAAATGATTTCAGTTTATGTATAAACTTATAGATTTAACTCCTGAGGCTTAACCTAGCAAGTGAAGTGAGCTAAGATATTAAATTCAGGGAGACTTTGCTTGTTTATTGGAGGTAGGAAATAAAACAAGCGGTCGCTTCCTTTCCAGGTGCGGCCTACTCCTTTTCTACCAGCACCAGCAGAAGAATGCCCCTGTGACGTTCATTGTTGATGGTGCCGTGGTCAAATTTGGACAAGGCTTTGGGAAGACTAACATCTACACCCAGAAGCAGGAACCTCCCAAGAAGGTAGAAAGAGAGAGACTTCTCTTGCAGTGTGTGGAGAAGAGTTCAGGTAGAAAGGATGCCTTAAGCTGCCAACTGTTATGGAGTTCCAACATGTCTTCTGATTGGACTTTTGAGTTCCTTGGTGGCATCTGCTTGACCTGATCTCACAAGGCTCTTTTTACTCCAGGAAGTCTTTGGTTGGGAGAGCAAGAGATTGAGTCTCTTCATTTGTAAATTTGTTATCCAGTTGACTTGCTCCATCGGAAGATGCATCCTTCAATTCAATTTCCTTTTCTCAGGCCCAAAAGCATAACTCTCATCAGCCTCAGTTGACCTGATTCACCTTAGGCATCAAATCTTTAAAAAAAAAAACACCTATAGTTTTGGGGGTTGAAAGTCACAAGTTAGCAGAATGATAAATCTTGAGATCTTGGAAATAAGTGGGTACCCTATTTTTTTTCCGGCTTTCCTGATTTTATACTAAAAAAAAATGGAATCCATTTTAAATCTGCTAAATATCTTTAGCTTCCTAAAGGAATCTGGGACACAGGTGCCCACCTCATTTAATGGTACAACTCTTAAGGAATTCCATAAGTTGTAAAAAAAAGTGGGGGTGCACATCTGTACACAGCTGTTGATCTGCAAGTTACGTTCCCTGTTCTGAGACCCCAAAACATGAGGTGTCGGACAGATCTGACTTTCATTTCTTAGTATTAAATTTCAGAACTGCATGTTTCAGATCTGTGAAGAACACTGTAGTCATCTTTTACATTTGCTAATCCCCAAGCTTCAACCACATGTAATCTTTTTTTTAAAAAAACTTCTCTCCTTCCAAGGTGATGATGACCAAACGGACCAAAGACATGGGCAAGTTCAGCTCAGTGACGGTCTCCACCATTGATGAAGAAGAAGAAGAGATTGAAGCGGTAAGGTTTTCCGTATCTATCAGCAACAAGCAGCCATAGCTTCTCGAGTATACCAAAAAAGGCAGTCATCCAGGGGTGGGATTCAGCCGGTTTGGGCCGGTTCGTGCGAACCGGATGTTAAATTGACATCCGGTTCGCTGAACCAGTAGTTGAACTGAATGGCTGGCCCCGCCTTCCCTGCCCCCCCCCCCCAGGAGTCTCCACACAGCCCATTTTGGGTGCAGGGTCTGTGCGGAGGCTCTGGGAGAGGGAAAAACAGGCCTTCCGGAAGTCTGGAAATGGGCCTGCTTCGTGGATCTTGGGGGAGCTTAAGCTTATGCTGCTTACAGTTATGCAAGGACTCCCAAGCTAGGTCCTCGCTTGACGCCTCCTTCCAGCCTAGTTGGCAGTTTCCCATCATCTTTCTTTGAAGACAACAAGAGAGATTTAGGTGACTTACCGGTAGATATTAGAAGCCAGGGATTTAGTTAGTGGCTTCTTGTCATTATGATACCTCTTCCTTCTGTAGATTCTTATCTTTTACACTTGCTTTTTTCTCAGAAGATTACCAGAGTGGTGTCTAGTGACCAAACAAATTACTGTATAAAGCCTCGTCCAACACAATGGACAATTTGAGATTGGTCACATTGGTTCATGCATCACATTACAGCACTGTATGCTTAATCATGGTTTACATGGTAATTTTTATTGACTAACCAACCACCGGCTAAGTTCCCATGAAAACCTAAGCCATAAACCCTAGTTCACACATTATGGTGGTTAGATTTACGATGATGACCCCAGTTAACGTGATTACGCCAATAACTCCCAATTTGTGTCAATTGACATAAATGACATTAATTGCATCATTTGGATTTAACGGACCTTTGGATTTTATGGACTGTTGGATTTAACAGACATCGGCTATAAGAGACTTACTCCTATGTGGTCTGTAAAATCGAGCTGTTAATTTTTTACTCTAACCTGTTTTTGACATGTTTCTTTTCTGCTGGCCCTACCATCATGTAATTCCCTTCTTATGGAACATTTTTCAGCGAGAAATTGCGGATTCCTATGCCCAAAATGCCAAAGTGATCGAGAAGCAGCTGGAAAGGAAAGGCATGAGCAAGAGAAGGCTGCAAGAACTGGTGGGTGTCTATTTTTCATTCTTCTCGTTTCTGCACTTCCTGTACAGGTTTGAGGCAACAACGTTGCAGAGATTCTGGTGGGAACGGACACACGTTCTCTCTAAATAGCATGCCCTAAAACAGTGGTCACCAACCAGTGGACCAGGGACCACTGGTTGGTCCATGAGAAAAAATTTGGTGGTCCGCAGAGAAATGTCACCTCCTAAGCAATTAATCCAGGCTGTGTGGGGACACAAGGCTGCACTTCCCACATGGCCCACGGGAACACAAGGCTTGCGTCGCTTGCATTGAGAACAACACGAGGTAGTGAGGGGAGAGGAGAAAGGGTGGAGGGGGAGAACTTGCCCCACTTGACCCACGCACCTTGCCTGGCCACCGGGCTGCTTCTTTCCGCTTCTTTCTTCTTCTGCTTTTGGCTGCACGCAAGGAAAACAGCAAAAGTCTTTCTTTCTCTCCCCCAAACTCTGCCAGAAATGAGTCTTTGGGGGAGAGAAAGA